GATCCGCTACATCGAGGCGGGCATGTGTTTTGGCCCGGACGTTTGCGAGTGGGCAATCTGCGAGAAGTGGAACGTGCGCGTCGGCAGTCAGGGGCTGGCCGGCGAGCTCCTCCAGGTGCCCGAGCACAGCGTCGTCGTTGGCCTGGCTCCACGCCTCGTCCAGCAGGTGCGCCCTCGCGTGGTGTAGGGCCGCGTCGTTGGCGAAGGCGCGGAGGAGCACCATCTCGTCCTGCGCGCGCAGCCCGTGCTCGCGCAGGTGGCGCAGCGCTGCCAGGTAAGCGTCGACGTGGCGTCTCGCCGCGGGCGGGGCAGCCGTCGGCGCGAAGCTCGTGCGCGCTGGGTCCGGGTTGTCCGCCGGCGCGGCCGCGCCTCGCACGCATGGCAAGGTGCTCCCCACGCAGAAGAGATGGAGGGGGAGGGGAAGAGGAAGGAGGAGGATGATGATGATGATGAGGAGGAGGAGATGATGATGATGATGATGATGATGATGATGATGATGATGATGATGATGGGGATGGTGATGATGATGATGATGATGCTAGTGATGATGCTGAAGATGATGATGATGATGATGATGATGATGATGATGATGATGATGATGATGATGATGCTAGTGATGAGGAGGAGGAGGAGGAAGAGGAGGAGGAGGAGGAGGAGGGGAAGGAGGAGGAGGAGGGGAAGGAGGAGGAGGAGGAGGAGATGGAGGGAGGAGGTGGAGGAGGAGGAGGAGGAGGAAGCAGGAAGGAAGAGCAGGAGAAGAAGGAGGAGGAAGCATGTAGGAGGAGCAGGAGAAGAGAGGGGAGGAGGAGGGGGAGGAGGAGGAGGAGGAGGAGGAGGCCAGCGTAGCAACGTCCACGTCCTCCCCCCACTAGGCCTGGCTGTACTCGGCGCCCTGGGCCACGTTCAGCCGCAGGTCCCGAAGCGCAGCCCGCGCGGCGTCGAGGTTGGTAGAGGGGAGGAGCAAGACAGAGGAAGGCAGAGAACGAAGAGAATGGTAGACATGGTGAGCAACATACACTTCTTCGAGGACAGCGATGGTGCGACAAAGGACGATGCCGGAGCACAGACGAGATTGACCAGGCAAGACGGCGACACGAGGCATAGTGAGCTTGCCTGTCGGGCTCATGCTCGCAGCCAAAAATGCACCCTAGACGCCCTCGCTCATTCAGAATCCTGTGGGATGTGAGCCACCCACCACACAGTGTTCGATGCCAGGCCCAGGCCCAGGAGGGGGGGGGGCGGACCGCAGGACCGTGCGGATAGCGTCCCAATCAACATTCATGATGCACTCTCTGCGCTCTGGCCACCACTTCAGAAGACGCTGCTGTAGTGAACTTCGAGAGCAGAGGAGGGGAGGGAAGACAGACACGCGAGCTTGGCCGCACGCTGGTGCTTGCTCGGGGCGGCTCGGCAAGCAGCAGCCGCAGTGGCGAGGGGAGTGCCGTCCGCGCTTGACTCCGCCTCATAAAGCATCTCGGCAAAGGCTGGGCACCGCCAGTGAGGAGGGCATCGTCGGCCTGCAGGAAGAACAGTGAGACGACGCATATCGAGCTCACGAGACTGCGGCGTGTCGGTCTGGCGCACCAGGAAGTCGAACACTTTTTTGTACCCAGGAATAGTGACAATCGCCATGCGAGGCGACCTCGAGCGGGCGCGCGTTGGGCCCGTGCCAATTTTTCAGTTGCGCCCAATCCCGTTCTCGATAAGCTCCCAGCGGAAGACGAAAAGCTTGTGCCAGAGCTCCACGCCCCACGGCTCGGAGGTCCGCTGGCGGTGGGAGGAACTGCATGACATATCTCAACACAGGCGTGCAGCGAGCATTGAATAAAACAGCAGACGACGAGGCGGGCGTGTTCCCAGCGCCCACCGCGGCCGCACGCGCCATGAACTTCTCCCGCGGGAGAGACCATGAGTCAGCAAGAACAGTGGCAGGCCCAATCCAAAGGCCCAAGTAAAAGAGCTTGGATTCCACTCGAAAATCACACCACTCGGGGATGAACGTCTTCAAGAAATCCTGGACACGTTGTTTTCAACTCCGAGGTAAATGGGCCCGAAACAGGAACCAGAACACACTTGGAAGGCTTCAGGCGCAGGTTGGCCGTCGCTTCCACAACTTTCATCACACGGCGCAGCTGTAACAGAAGACGCATATCATCGATGGCACCACCGAGATCATCAGCACATGCGCGATTGATCCCACGTCGGGGAGCCTCAAACGAGCGGTGGAGGTCACACGAAGAGCAGGAGACAAGGCGGCGGCGAACAGCGACCCCGAGAGGGCACAGCCCCGGGAAATACCCGAGCGAATCCAGAAAGCGTGCACCAGCGATCCCTGGACAGAGACGACCCCTTCGATACCCTCGCACAAGATCGACACGAAAGAGATGAGCGGGGAGGGGCAGCCCATCTTACGCAGTACCAGTAGCACGAACTCCTGATTGAGGCTCGAGAAAGCCTGGCCATAGTCCAGGGCATACAGTCGCGGGCAACGATGATCAGCTTCGGGCCGAGCCGAATGCACACGCGACAGAGCGTCCACTTCCACCAGGTTCTGGCAAACGTTTCTCCCCTTCATGAACCCCCTCTGGTCAGGCGGCACAAAATGAGCGAGTGGCTTGCAGAAGGCGACTTTCACCGTGGCCGTGAGCAGTTTGATGCTCGTGTTGCGCAAGCCAAGCACACGAACAAGATATGACTCCCGTTCACATCCCCCCTCCCGCGTGTCAGTGTCTAGCGCGCCCTTCGGTCGGAAAGCCTGCAATGTGTTATTCTCGGCCGAAGGCATCCCATTCCCCTCCATCATCCACCAAAGAGTGTCATGCAACGTGAGGAGGCCAAACGGGTGAGCGAACCACGCAGCATAACATAGGCGATCCACGCCTGGAGCAGAACCACTGGCACGAAGTGCAACTTTCTTCAGCAACGCGAACGATGCCGGCGGGCAATCAGAAAAGCCGACGGTCTGAACGAAGCGGTCACAATACGCGCTGGCAGTTTTGACGGCCCAGGGTTGGCGAGCAAAGATAGGGCCCCAATGGGAGACCAGGGCTTCATGACGATCCTGCAAACCAGAAAAGCTCTGCCCTCGGGCGACGACGGCACGTAACGTGAGACGGCGAGCGAACGGAACCCAAATCCTGGCCCTCCTCTCGATAGCCTGGAGCATCTGACGTTCTTTATGCCGAACACCCTCCCCCTCAGCACGTTCGAGACGAGACCGAGCAGCAGCAAGATCGAGGTTCGACGCCTTCAGTTGCACCTCGTTGGACCAGCGCTGGAAAGAAGCAGGCTGGATGAGCACGAACTTCGCGCCTTCCACGCAGATGAAATCAGCAGCAGCGGCATGCGAACGAAGAAGGCGAGAGGCGGTCGGTACGTCCTGGCGCCAAATCGCACGAGCAATAGAGCGAGCCAGAAGTAACAACGTGCGCGGGCCCGTCGGGCGGCGGAACATCAAGACATCCCTCGCGTCCCTGCTCGTTTCCTGCAGCAGCTCCTTATACCGCTCAAGCCTCCTCGGAGGGCACATAGCTTGCAAGTGCGACGATTTAGCTTCGACAAATGCGGCCAGTATCCGCTTGTATTCTTTTGTATGGCAAAGATGTTTTGGAATGGGGCGTTCAGCGGGCTCTTGAGGCTTGCGGTGACCGAAGGAGACGCACAGGGCGGCGTGGTCGCTGATCTTCGCACGATGGAGGACCTCAGGGGACCCTTCAACATAGGCCTGCGAGTACACTTGAGCGATGACCCAGCCACCTGTCAATAGCAGCGACCGCGTTGCCATGCGCATCGGAATGAGTGGCCTCGAGAGGGGTGGCCTCGACCAGGGAGGTCAAGAGCAGCCGTCCACCGCGACGCCTGTGCGTGTGCGGGACGGCCCGCCCGCTGGGCCTGAGCCTCCGAGGGCCGCGAAAAGCTCAGTTGTTCCTCGCTCGCAAGGTTGAAACCGCCATGCGCTACCAGCAGCACAGACTCAGGAGAAGATTCCGACAGAGCCCGATCCCGAGTTATTTGACTGCACACATCGCTTACTTGTCCCGGAGATGAATCATGATTGTGAATGCTGTAATGAATTAAAGTGGTGTCCCGATTTTGCAGAGCAACACGTATGACTCGACCAGGAATGAGCACACGCAAGGAAGGCGAGGAGGCGCCTCGCGATAAAATACCAGGGACGACAGTGGCGACACCGCCGCGGATCCGCTCCGCACGGTCAGAGCCGCAGAAGCTAGAAAAAGGAGGAGGAAGATGAGGAGGAAGAAGATGGAGGAGGGAGGAAGAGGAAAAGGAGGAGGAGGAGGAGGCCGAGGGAGGAGGAGGAGGAGGAGCAGGAAGGGGAGAGGGAGGGGGAGGAGGATGGAGAGGGTGGTGGGCAAGCTAGGTGCATTCGCGCCATACCTGACATCCCTTCCCATTGCGCTGATGTTTTGTCTATATCCGCGGGCGCGTGTCATATCCGACCTTGAGCTTCCCCAAAGCACCCCATCATGTTCTGCGCAATCGGCAAAGAGGAGCTGCGTACATAGGAGGAGCAGGAGGAGGAGGAGGAGGTGGCTGGTGAGCAGGAGGGCGAGCAGGACGAAAAGGGGGAGGATGAGGAAGGATAAAGACGAGGACGAACAGCAGCAGCAGGAACTGGAGTGGGAGGAGCAGGAGGAGCAGGAGGATCAGGGGAAGGCGGAGGAGGGGAAATGAGGGGGCCAGTAGCAAAACGCCGATCCGAAAGTGAGGTCCACGCTGCAGCGGGAGCACTATTCTGAAACACCCAAAACAATCGGATTGCAAAAGCAAGTAACAATACGCGGAGGGGGGCCGGAGATCTTCCAGACAGGGCCAGGGGAGAGAGAAGAGTGGTCTTCGTATGGTGACATTGTGGAGGAGGAGGATGAGGAGGAGGAAGAGGAGGGAGAGGAGGGAGAGGAGGGAGAGGAGCAAGGAATAGAGAGAGGAGCAAGGAGGAGGGGGGGACTCCTCCCCCCCTACCCGGCTCGACAGGGCCTCTTCCGCATCGGTCCGCGCTGCCAGCCACGCCCCCAGCGCGGCGCGCAGGGCTGCGCCGCCGCCGCCGCCGGCCGCGTCCTGCGGCGCTCGCTTGGCGGCGGCGACGACGACGACGACGACGACGAACGGCGATGACGGCGACGGCGTAGGCGCCGACGATGCGGACGACGAGGACGAGAACGAGGACGAGGACGAAAACGAAGACGACGACGACGCTGCCGACGACGACCACGACGACGACAACGTTGGCGGCGACGACGTTGGCGACGGCGACGTCAGCGACGAAGACGACGCACATGAGAACAAGAAGAGGATGCAAATAGAGGTAGTGACGTGACTACGAATACTCCCCAAACAGTGTCTGTAATTAGGGGTTCTTACTTCTGTTCTAAGGTATTCGGCTGGAGTGCCATTCTGGCGGCTATGTTGCCGCCGTCGCCGCCCCGTCGCCGCCCATCGTCTGGGCCGGAGTGCCGCTCTGGCGGCTATGTTGCCGCCGTCGCCGCACCATCGCCGCTTCGCTGCCGCCCGTGGTCCGAGCCGGCGTGCTGCTGCGGCGGCCATGCTGCCGCCGTCGCCGCCCTGTCGCCGCATGCCGTCTGGGCCTTGTTGTTGTGCATTGCGGTGCGCTGCTTACGTGGCTCTGCATTGCTACGCACTGCAAGTTGCATCGCTCTGCTTTGCATAATTTTGCTTTACATGGCATTTTTCGCGCTACTTTGCATTGCTGTGCGTTGCACTGCGTCGAATTACAGTGCTACGCCGTGCCACGCAATGCGTTGCATTTATGTCATTGCTTTGCTACGTCGTGCTACGCATACGCCGTGCTTTGGATTTGCTTTGCTTTGCAATCCCTCTCCCTTCCTCCATCCTGCTTTGCGTGGCTGCGTATTGCATTATTGTTCTCGAGGCTTTGCGCATCATTGTGTTTAGATGCCCCAGGAAAATTGCTCAACATAGGTTGCACAACGTAGACTTCCCTTCCTAAAAGCAAATTAGAATATGCTCCCCCTCGGGGTTGTTCGCCCCACTTGGGGTCGTAGATTTTACAAAAGACAGCGTTTCATCGTTCATTTAAAACATGACCGCGTAATTATCATTCCAGCCCAACCGGCATCGACACCCCCGCATCTTCGTTAAATAATACTGCGCGCACTTGTTTATCAAGCATCATCAATGTCCCAACCTCTTTGCAACAAATTCGACAAACTCCATACGCGCGCGTCGTCGAGCACATGCCGGCAATTTTCCATCACCGTCGCTTCCGGGGTGATTTCAACATTCTAGGAGACAGTGGTTGTATAACCTGGTTGCACAAACAAGAAAACTGCGTGTGTGTTCGTGCGAACCCGTGCGACAACTATCACGTTCATCAACTGCGACCAGACTGGAGTCTTGCGCGCGCGTCGAAATCTGCCGAAATGTATCCTGATGTTTCGCGCGCCTGCTGGGGAACACGACCCCTGTCAAACAATACATGCGGGCCAGTCGCGCCCGTCGGCCGCGGGTGCATGCCGAAATCCTCCCAAACCTTCATCGCCGACACGTGGACACCATCATCGTCACCGACGAGATCAGCATCGGCGCCGTCTTTGGCCTTGCCGTCGTCATCGTCATCGCCACCAACCTCACTACTGTCATCATCGTGTCTGCCATTGTCGACGTCGCCATGATACCGCGCCCGCCCGGATCACCGACTCGCACTGGAGTGCCCGTGCGTCAGCGCGGCCTGCGAGAAACGCTGGGGATTCCCCAACGGTGTGCGCCACCGCGGCCGAATCGGTCGCGCCAACCTGGCGGGCCGCTTTGCGCGCTAGCTTGCGCGCACTAGCGCGGCCGCAGCGATCCGCCAGCCGGCGCCAAGCAGTCATCGCAATCAACGACGCATTGGTTTTGAAAACCAAGTTGCGGGCGGGCGGGCGGGATGATTGCGCGAGGAGTGGGGTTGACAAGTTCAAGATCGGCAAGGAGAATTGCACCACATAGACTGCACCACGTGGATTGCACAACATACATTCTCATTTTCTTTAAAAAAGGAAGATCGGCTCTATCCCATTTCCCCTGGGAGTTCAACGAGCCCCCATCGCGGACTGCCATTTACATCGGATTTTGCCCCATCATCACTCCCGGCACATTCTTGTGAAACCGCCTGCACAAGAAAAGCAACGACTACATAAACCAAATCGTCAAAAGTAACCACCCCTTTGAAAATAATAACGACATCTCGGTTCGACCAGTAAACCTCCACCTACGAAATTCTGTCAACTGCCGAAACTCGGTAGACTGACCGCACATTATATTTCGGCAAAAACTTCAAAACAATGAACAAACCGAAAAGTAAAATTCGACCAAAAGCGGGCGAATCCATTGATTCTTCTGGACACGTAAACATACCGTTGCAATGCAGGGACTACTGCTTCAAAAACAATAACAAATGTGGTCTGGAAACTAAAACGTCGCGGTCGGATCCGCCCTACTTTAGTTTCAACGCGTGCAAGCGTTAATGATTTCAAACACGCTGCTTGCGCGCAACAGCGCGCACCCGTTTATGACGAACCATCAATTGTCAAGAGCCCCTTGCGGACAGCTACACAAAAACACACGCACGCGTCGTCGCGCGCGCATGCCGGACTCCTTCAAAAACCTTAAGATCCACATGGACATCAAAACCGAACGCCCCGACAACATATGAAAAAAACGCGGTCTCTCAGCAAGTTGTATCCATCCAAATCCTACGTTCGCGTTCTTGCAATTTCTTAAAAACATATGTTTAGGTATACTGTTGGTATACATATATAAATAAACATGTGAATATATGTGTATATATACACGTACATATGTGTTCATGACATGCTACCTAAAGTGTCTCTCGCGCGCGCATGTCGAAATCGTTCGGACGCCTTTGCGGGCGGGCGTGCTGTCGCAAGAACCCCTGGCAACAAATCGGACGAAGTGCACGTTCGCGCGCGTTGTCGCGCGCACATGCGGAACTCCTCCAAAAACCGTCGGTATCGCAGGGGTTTCAAAATCGGGTGCCCCGAAACATATGTAACAAATACATGACTGTGCAACAGTGTTCAACAATGCCTGCGTTCGCGCTGCTGTAAATTCTTCCAAAAAAACAATGGTTTCAACATGTTCATCAGCTTCGGCCAAACGACCCCATTAGTTCTCCAACCTGTTCATCAACATGTCGAAATCATTCGAAGGCCCTTGCGCGCGCGCTGTGGGGGCACGGCCCGTGTCAAACAACACCATGCGGGCCACTCTCGCGCGTCGGCCGCGCGCATGTCGACCTCCGTCCAAAAACTTCATCATCTACGGACGCGAGGACGCCGTCATCTTTGTCGGCGTGATCAACATCGGCACCGTCACTGGCCTTGCCGTCGTCGTTGCTTTCATCGTCGCCAGCATCGCTACTACCATCATCGTGTGTACCGTTGTCGACGTTGACATGATACCGCGCCCGCCCGGATCGCAAACTTGAAGTGTGCCCGCTGGGAAATGCCCAGCGGTCAGCGCCACCGCGGCCGCGTCGGTCGCGCCAAACTAGCTGGCCGTTTCGCGCGCGAGCATGCGCGGGCTTGCGCGGCCGCAGAGATGCACCAGCCAACGCCTAGAACCCATCGCAATCGCCGCCGCATGGGTTTTGCAAACTAAGTTGAGGGAGGGTGGGGGGATGGTTGCGCGAGAAGTGGAGTTGACAACTCGCCGCGAACAGAATCTAGTTGCACAACATAGATTGCACCACATAGTTGTACTACATAGACTGCACCACAAATATTGAACCATCTGGACTGCACCACGTAGATTCCACTGCAAAGATTACGCAACATGAGTTGCAAAACATATCGAATGGTCTTCGACCTATCCCGCCACTGTGCCTGGATTGTGAGCTGTGGGTCCAGCTGCGCGACATCGGAGCAACGCCAGAACATGTAGCGGGAACGAGAAGCGGAGACGAAACCGGCAGGAGTAAAAATAGTGGGTAGGATCAGGAGCCATGTCAGAGGAAGGGAAGGAGGGAGGGAAGGAAGGGGAGGAGGGAGGGGGCGAGGGAGAGGGAGGAGGGATGAGGGGGGAGGGAAGGGATGCGTGAGGGAGGGAGGGGGGAGGGGGGGGGAGCAGGAAGAGGAAGGAGAGAGGTGAGGGAGGAAGGGGAGGAGAGGTAGAGAGAGAGAGAGAGAGAGAGAGAGAGGAGAGGAAGGGAGAGGAGAGGGAGGAGGGAGGGAGAGGGAGGACAAGGAGGGGGTAGGGAGGGGAGGGAGAGGGAGGAGAGGGCGGAAGGGAGGGGAGCGGAGGGGAGCGGAGGGAAAGGAGAGAGAGAGGGAGGAGGGGGAGGGAGGGAGGAGAGGGAGGGGAGGAGAGGGAGGGGAGGAGAGGGAAGGGAGGGGAGGGAGAGGAGGGGAGGCAGGCGCTGGAGGAGGCAGCGCAGGATGCCAGGGAGGTGCGCGCCGGTGTTCCTCCTCCTCTTCGGTAGGTTCTGGCAGTGGCTCCGTGGCGACCAGCGGCGGCCCCAAGCCTGCCTTGCCGTGGCGGGGGGCCCGTGGCGGGGCGGGACAGGGCCTCCTGCCTGCCGCTCCCGTGTGCTGCTCCCCTTCCATCTCGTCCTCCTCGACCTTTTCCGCCTCCTCCTCCTCCTCCTCCTCCTCCTCCTCCTCCTCCTCCTCCCCCTCCTCCTCCTCCTCTCCTCCTCCTCCTCCTCCTCCTCCTCCTCCTCCCCCTCCGCCCCTCCTCCTCCTCCTCCTCCTCCTCCTTCCTCCTCCTCCTCCTCCTCCTCCTCCACCTCCGCTTCCTCCTCCCCCTCCTCCTCCTCCTCCTCCTCCTCTCCTCCTCCTCCTCCTCCAGCGCCAACTCGGTCCAAGGCCTTTCGGGGCGGTGCGAGCACGCGCTAGGGTCCCACCTGCGCCGCCCGCCCCCCCCCCCCCTGCTCTCTCCGGCCCCCTCTTCTCCCCTCGCCGCCCGCGGGATGGAGGGGCTGCCGACCCGGGAGGGTGGCGCCCGCCGCCCCAATCGGCCTGCCGCCGCACTCCGCGCCCAGGCGGTGCGGGCGCAGGGGCGGGCCACCCAGCACCTCCTGTGAGCCTTCGCGGGGGTGCAGGCGCACAGGGGCCAGGAACTCTCCCGCCTGTCCCGCGCCCTGCGCAAGGTGCTGGGGGCCGACCGTGAATATGGAACTCCTCCCCCTCGCGATCAGCATCCGCGAGACGCTGATCGACCACGAGTGGTGGATCTTCCGCGAGTGGGCCTTCCTCCACCAGTCGTGGGTCCTCAAGCTGGTGCGCGAGCTGACCGCGGGGATCTGCGCCTCCGAGATGCTGGGGCGCTTCTTCGACACGCAGGTGCGGATCCTCCGCGTGAAACGATTCCTCCACCAGTCGCCGATCTCCCACCAGACGTGCTACCACCAGGTGCACCTGTCCTCCAACGTGGAGACCTCCGTGGCGGTGCGCAGCAGCTACCTCAAACAGGCGCTATAGGTCTAAGAGCTGACGCTCCATAAACCGCATCTCCCGCCCACTCGGTTGCTCTTGGGGCCACGCCTCGTTTTCGGCGGCGCGTCATAGGGGCGCCTGGGCCCAAGGACGCGGAAGAGGTCGAACACGTGGGCGACGACGCTTCGACGCTCCATGAGCGTCGATCCTCCGTCCCCTGCGATAGGGCTGCAAGTGGCGTGCCCTTCTCTGTTGGCTCCTCATCACGTTGTGCTGGCGCGGGTCTGGCAGAAGGTGTGCGCGTCCATGGCGCTAAACGCCGAAGGCATCATAGGGGCGGAGACGCAGCCCCTCCCCAAGCCTCCGAAGAAGCCTCCAAGGATTGTGGGCACGACGACGGCGGCTATGTCATTCCTCTTTTTGTTGCCCAGGTGTCCCAAGTGCCTCCCTCGGAGCTCTCTGATTCCAAGTCGGAGGAGGGGCGAAGAAATGCCCAGTCGAAGGCCAGCGACAATCATCCAATGATACAGCCAATTCTTCGTCCTCCCGATCGGCGCGTGGGAGGTTTGCCAGGACAGGGCGGAAGCACCCAAGATGCGCAAGCTGGCACGGAGACCAGGGCCGCAGGTTTGTTCACTGGCGCATTCGGGCCCACGGCTGGCGAGCAGGACAAATACGTTCCGAAACCTTTCGCTCAAAATGGTCCCGTGGCGTCTGGGCCACCGAAAGATGAAAAGGGCGAGCGCCCATGACGTACGCGCCAGTCTGGAGCCCGTTTCGAATGCCATACCGATCGACTTCATGGGCGTGTCCACTCCGAGTGCCACTCCTGAGTCGGCGGCCTTGCCGATCGGGCCTGCCGCGCGGCCGCCTGCCTGTGCCCCCGTCGGCGCTCGGGTCACGGGGCAAGGGTCGGGCGGCACTGCTGCTGGAAGCACCCGGCCTCCGCTTGGAGTGAGGGCTGACATGAACTCCGAGGCTCATCGCGTGGAGGTCGACGAGGTCCACGACAGTTTGCGCAGTCTCACTGGTCGAGGCGACGCCAGTGCTGATAGTCGAGAGCAAGGTGACAAACCGCACCCAGCTACCGCAGCCCATGGCGAAGCTAGCGGGGTGATGACCGTGAGCCGAGCCCATGGTGAAGCTCACGACGCCACTCAGGTGGTGGTAAGTAGCCTAGTAGTTGTTCGGAACATATTTGAAGTTTTTTCTTTCTGGGGCTGCACGCAGCGAGCTGGCCTCAGGAGCTACCGCTGCTGGTTCGTTGAATGGTGCTTCTGGGTCCACCCCTGGAACCACTAACAGCCTGCGGCAAAACAACGAACCGAAGACGGTCCAGACAACCCATGGCGAGTCTGACCGCAAAGACGGCGCGCGCCGGGTACTCCGCGAAGACATGAGGGTCCAAGCCAGCGGAAATCTGAAGACAAACGTGCCAGGTAAGCGACGCCGTGGCCGCCCTCGTCTCCACCAAATCCCTGTCCGCCTGTGCGGTACCGTGCACAAGGTCGACTTCGTGGTCGGGAAGTGCAGCCACGAGGAGGTCTACGGGGCGCTCGTTGCCTGGGACCTCCCGCCGGAGGGAGGTGTCGACATGACCTTCCATCCGTACGACGAGTGGCAACATTTCACATGTGTTTGACTTGTTGCTGTTTCCCTCATGCTCGTTGCCTGGGTAAATGAGTTGTCTGGGTTGTGGGTCACACGAAGGAGGACGTCTACGCCCTCCCCGTCACTGGCTTCGCCTGCGGTTCCGTGTTGCTCTCCCGCCTCATGCTGGGCGGGATCTTCCTTGACCCGTCCTTCCTCCACACGTTCTTCCACGTTGCCCTCTCCGCCATCGTGGCGTGAGGGCGCGTCGGCGTAGTCCGTCGGGCGCGCGCCAACGCGGCCGTCGGGAGACGCTCGAGAGGCGCTGCGCTCCTCCTCCTCCTCCTCCTCCTCCTCCTCCTCCTCTCCTCCTCCTCCTCCTCCTCTCCTCTCCTCCTCCTCCTCCTCCTCCTCCTCCTCCTCCTCTCTTCCTCCTCCTCCTCCCTCCTCCTCCGCTTCCTCCTCCTCCTCCTCCTCCTCCTCCTCCTCCTCCTCCTCTCTTCCTCCTCCTCCTCCTCCTCCTCCTCCTCTTCCTCCTCCTCCTACTCTGTTTCTTGCTCCCGCTCCCCAGTTTGGTCATCGGGGAGTCTCCTCGTCGCCACGGGTGGGCCCGCCTCGAAAAATGGGCCAGGATGGACCCCAGGCGGGGTATGGGGACCTGTTTTGAACGGATTGGAACAAGGCGGGGGTACCAAGAAAGCAAGCGCAGATATCGCCCAGAGGGCGTCCCGTGTAGGGGGCGGCGGGTGCGCGTGGCGCGCCCTGGTCAGCCCGGCGGACGCACGCAGGTCCCATGGTCCTCTCGTCATCGCCACAAATTCGGAGGGTGATGAGGAGGAGGCGGAGGAGGAGAATGAGGAGGATGAGGAGGAGGAGGAAGCTGCTAATGGGGAGGAATGAAAAAGGATAATGAGAATGGCGACAAGGAGAACGGAGGAAGGAAAGGATAAGGATACTTACCCAAGGATTACCCCTAGCTGACTCTGTCAGACCACGCTATTTCGGGGGCTCACTTAAGATGTCTCCCTTCAGAAAGGCGCTGGAGGACCCAAGCCCCCGTCTTGGTGGGAGGCTCGCCTCTTACACACTTACACTCTTTCGCCAGGTCCCTGAGATGGCCGCTGCCCTCTCTTGCCCTGCAGCCACACATGGTGCACGCCCAAATACGGACAATAGAAAACCATAGTGCGCGAGAGATGGGCAACACGCGATCCGATGGTCACGAGCACTCGAGTGGGCTGGGGGGAGGGGTTGGCCAGGCACTGGGAGCAAAGCCAATTCTTGAGCACGCGTGTGCACGAGGCCTTGGACACACCACTGCGGGAACCCAAACAACTAACGCGTTGTTTTGAATATCTGCTGTAGGATCGGAAGAGCTCGCCTGCGCACGCGCGAGTGCGGAGGGCCTGGTCCTTCTGGCAGCCCTCTGGACCTCGCGCACAGGCGGCGGGCGGCCCTCCTGCTCGAAGGCGAACAGGGTGGCTCTCGCAACGCGGAGCCGCACAAGACACATCGTCGCCACCGCCCATTTGTAGCAAGAGAGGCGAGCGTGCGGGATGGTATGGGCGGCGGCGGCAGAGGCAGCGAGGGCGTCGGCAATCTGCTTGCCGATCCAGTCCAACAAGGGGACTCCTCTGGCCATCGACTCCTCAGGGGACAGGTGGCTGTTCAGAAATTGCGCTGTCACACTGGCCTGCCCGCGCTTACTCAGCACTGCTCCGAACATCTCCCAAATATCACCATTTACACTCCAACCTGCAGGCCTCAAATGGCGGCTTTTCTTCCAACCACGGAACAAGATATCACTATCAGCCCAATGCTCAACATCACCTGACGTGCAACGCAGCACTGAAATTAAACTAGACATCTCTGCACGATTGCTTGACTGGCGATGGCCTGCCAACGAAGAGCGCGCTCCGCCCATCAGCTCTGGGCGTCTGGGCGTGCCTTGCAGAATGCACCGGCCC